ATACAGCCTCACTCTCTGTGACTTACAGCAGGAAGGCTTATCTCTTTCTCAGACTACATGTTCACTGCAAGTCCACCATGCCTCAACTCCACATCTTCATTCAAGGACTAGACTCACAGAGTGGAGGGAAGGAAGAGACATGGTAGAACACAAGCTGGATCTTAACACTTATATTCACAAGTGACCACTGTCATTTCTACCCACATTTCATGAGCCAGAGAAAGTCAACATTACTTACATCAGTGGGTTGTTGTTGTTGTGTTATTAAGTGTCATTGAGTCAGTTCAGATTCATAGCAACCCTATGTAGGGTTTCCAAGGAGCAACTGTTAAGTTTGAACCACCAATCTTGTTCAAACTAACCTTGTGGTTCAGTACTTATCCCGCTGCGCCACACTGGGTTGTTGTTGTTGTTAAGTACCATGGAGTCAGTTCCGACTCATGGTGACCCTGCACAGGGTTTCCAAAGCTGTAAATCTTTATGGGAGCAGAACACCTCATCTTTCTTCTGCGGAACCACTGGTAGTTTTGAACTGCTGACCTTGCGGTTGGCAGCCCAACTCGTAACCACTACGCTACCAGAGCTTGTTGTTGTTATTAAGTGCCGTTGAGTCAGTTCCAACCTATAGTGGCCCTGTATAGGGTTTCCAAAGAGCAGCTGGTGAGCTTGAACCACCAACCTTGCAGTTCAAACGGCTTTGCAGTCTGGTGCATTAACCCACAGTGCCACACCAAAGCTTAGACATAGATAATTCAGCCTCAAGGAGTTGAGTTGACTCTTGGCAATCCCATGTGTTACTGAGCTTGGTAGAGTTTTCTTGGTTATAATCCTTATGGAAGCAGATTGCCAGGTCTTTTCTTTAGCACTGCTGGGTAGATTAGATCCTCCAACCTTTCAGTTAGCAGCCAATCACAAACTGCTTACATTATCCCAGTTCCTTCTACAAAGAGCAGAGTATACTTTTAACATAATAGGTCTACCATTGTGTGAAATCCCAAAGAAGTCAGAAATCATTTGATTCACCATCTATCCTTTTAGGCTATCTTAACCAGGATTCTAAATTTGAAGAACAGGTCACTAATTCATTTCTGGCTTTTCAATGCCTATTCAAAAAGGCATCTAAATAAATTCAAACTGGGTATTAAAAAGAAAGAAAGAAATTTAGAGCTATACAGACTTAAGAATAAGAGGTCGTTTTTTTAAAAAAAATTAAGTTGAAGGGAAAATTACCTAGATTTTCTGAAGAAAAAATATAATTCAGTGTGAGAATTTTATTTATAATACTCATTAAAACTTGGTGTCAAAATAGAAAAAGGGAAAATTTTTCTTCTCAATTCTGAATACCCATGTGTGGGTGTCTTGCTAATAATAAGTTTCCTAAAAATGAGTAAAGTATTAAGTATACAGTCTGATTTGCCCATTAAATCATAGCTCATCTCTAAATACATCTTTCATGTGTGTGTTTCTGTATGCGTGAGCCAATTTTTTAAAACATTTTTATTGTGTCCTCAAGAAACATCTTTGAAGGAACTAGGAGTTAGTCATGACTCTGGGGAGCCAATTCTATGGGCTTATAGTGATAGAAACAAAGCTGTTCTCTTGCGATAGGAGGCCAAGATGTATCTAATTTTTGTAACAACATTTTTTTCTACCAAATTTTTAACTTGTCAGTGCTTAAAATACAGAGAAAATTATGTCTCATGCTTTTTTTCTTGAAAGAAACCATATTCATCAAACCAAGACTACAATCTTAACCACTGATTATGGTTAGAGGTGACCCCAAAATAAATTGTAAATAAGCTTGTACTCATTTCATTGTTGCTGAGTTGATTCTGACCCATAGCGACCCTATAATACAGAGTAGAAATGCTCCATAGGGTTTCCAAGATTGTAAATCTGTACAGGAGCAGACTGCTATATCGTTCTCCCAGGGAGCGGCTGGTGGATCCAAACCACTACCATTTCAGTTAGCCTAACACTGAACCCATTCTGCTACCCAAAATCAAACCCAGTGATGTTGAGTCAATTCATATTCATAGTGTTCTTATCAGACATAGTAAAACTGCTGATCTATAGGATTTCCCAGGCTGCAGCTGATAGGTTGGAACCGCCAATCTTCTGGTTATCAAGTCAGTGTTTAATCCACTGCGCCACCATAATCTATTCCCTATGTGAATTACATGGAGCTCTGGTAGTGTAGTGGTTACGAATCAGGCTGCGAACTGCAAGGTCAGCAGTTCGAAACTACCAGCTGCTCCACAGGAAAAAGATGAGGTGTTCTGCTCCCATAAAGATTAACAGCCTCGGAAACCCTGTGCAGGGTCGCTATGAGTCAGAACCGACTCCACGGCACATAACAATGTGAATTACATTAATGTCTCATAACATTATGTACAAACAGTGCATGTTTTGAAATCTTGAACCATTGCTTCTGCCAAAGGTAAACAAAATGTGCCTGAAGGATTTTAGGTTTGACATTAACATATAAACTTTTTTTAACCTTTTATTGTGAATTGAGCAAAGGTCTACAGACAAGATCATCAGTTTTGCATTCAACAAAACACACACTCTGTTTCATCTCAATTACTGCAATCCCTTCCATGTAAAAATAGTTATCCCACTGTCTCCCCATGGTTCCTATTCCCATTCCACCACCTCCCCATCCCCTCTCAACTCCATCCTTAAGTAAGCTCTCCCTTCTGATCCCAAATGATTGACTGCTCTATGGTGAGCACACCCCACCAGTATTGTCATCCCCTCTATAAACCCACCTACCACTCAGCTGAAAACTGGGCTACAAAGGTGAGTTCCCTTCCAGCTCTAAAGAGTGGTTGAACACTATAGTCTTGGGTGTCTCCAGTCTTTTTTTGACCAGTAGGCCCTGTCTTCTGTAATCTTGAGTTTTGGTCCACATTCTCTCCTAGTCTGTCCGGGTTCTTCCAGTGTGGTCCCTTTCAGAGTAGTTGGCAGTGGTATCCGGGCACCAGCTAGTTCTTCTGGTCTCAGAGTCATGGAGATGGATGTTCACATGTTCCATTAGTCCGTTGGATTCATTGATTCCCAGCATCTTCAATTCTTATCACTCTTCTTTCTTCCTAAGACCAATAGTTGTACCTTAGATGGCTGCTCACGAGCTCCTAAGATCCCAGATGCTACTCACCAAAATAGAGTGTAGAACTTTGTCTTTGTGGACTCTGCTAACACATAAACTTTTCTTAAAAATGTGTTTTAATGACCTCATTTACTTAATTAACATGTAATTTTGAAAGCGATGTTTGACAGTTCACAGGTTAACTGGCTTGCTATAAGCATATTAAACTCAAAACTTAACTCAAATGATACCTTTCATCTTACCTCCTTATAGATTAAAAATTCACTCAGACCTGTGTAAAATTATTGACTACCTGAAGTACCTGTTACCTATTCCTGTTTCTTGGGGGAAATAATAATGCTGTTGTTAAGTGCTGTCAAGTTGTTTCTGACCCATAATGACCCTGTGTAGGGTTTCCGAGGAGCAGCTGGTGAACTTGAACTGCCAAACTTGCAATTAAAAGTGACTTTGAAGTCTAGCACATTAATCCACAGCGCCACACTAGGACTCTAAATAATAGTGTAGATCAAAGTAAATGGTGACACTAAGTACATGAGAATAAAAGTCGATTTTGTTAAATATAAGAGATAACATTTTGCAACAACAGTAATCACAACCAAAAAATATGTGTGTTTGCATTACATAGATATTTATGCAGAAATGTGTATAGGAAGGCACAGATGAGTATATGAGTGTGCATGTACAGGTTTATCTAAAGGTATATGTATATACATGTTTTTGTGTGCTGCACAGATAAAATAAAAACACATAGGGAGCACAGTTATAGATACTTCCTAGACATAACCAGCCACCTCATAGGATTGGTTTACTGGATTTGAAGATTTAGAGCCATAGTCTCGTGGGCCAACTGGGTCAATTGGCATAATATAATCCATAAAGATAATGTACTATATTCTAGTTTGGTGAGCAGTATCTGAAACCTTAAAAGCTTGCTGTTGTTGTTGTCAAGTGCCATTGAGTCTATTCCGACCCATAGCGACCCTGTATAGGGTTTCCAAGGAGTAGCTGGTGAGCTTGAACCACTGACCTTGTAGATTAAATGACTTTGCAGTCTGACGCATTAGCCCACAGTGCCACACCAAGCTTGGGGACAACCACTTAGATCTCATCTATCCTGAGACCAGAACTAGATGGTGCCTCATTAGATTACTACTGGCTGTTCTCACCAGGGTCACAATAGAAGGTCCTGGATAGAATGGGAGAATGTGTAAAACAAAACACAAAAATTTCTTTATAAGACCAGACTTACTGGACTGGTAGAGGATAGAGGAACTCCTTAGATTATCGCCCTTAAGATACCCTTGAAACTTAGAACTAAAGCCATTCTTGGACATCACCTTTCATTCAAATAACATTGATTCATAAAATAAACAATATCACTCATTACTACTACTGTGCTTCTGTAAACAATCATCCATATGAAACCTTAGCAGTCAACATTTACCCTAAGACAAAGATGAGAAGGTAAGAGTGGCAGGGGAAGTTAGATAATTGGGAACAAAATGACTAGACTAGAAATAACGAAAATGCTGACATATTGAGGAAAATGTAAGCAGTTTCACTGAACAATATGTTTTGTTGATGTTGTTAATGCTGTCGAGTCAGTTCCAACCCATGGCAAACCTGTATAGGGTTTCCAAGGAGTGGCTGGTGGGTTTGAACCGCCGACCTTGGAGTTCAAACTGACCTTGAGGTCCAGGGCATTATCCTGCAGCACCACACCAGGACTCCAAACATTATGTATAACAATTGTTAAATAGACTAATTTTGTGTAAAGTTTCACCAAAAACACAATAAAATATAAAATATATTTTTAAATAATAGTGTAATATGTTTGTATACATAAATTAATTTATAATGTTGGTTGAATTTCTACTTTTTTTTATAGAACACTTAAAAGAAAAACTAGATGACTACATTAAGTTGTGGAATGGCCTAGTGAAAGTCTTTCGAAATGAGAGGAGAGAAGGTTTAATTCAAGCACGAAGCATTGGTGCTCAGAAAGCTAAACTTGGACAGGTAGGAAACATTTGATATCTACAATGTCAACATTTTGGATTTGGCAACCAAAAGATTGTATACATTTTAAATTACCCTTCAGATTCTTTTAAATTGAAATAAGAATGCTGCCTTAAACAAATAACTTGTGTGTCATAATTGACTATAATACAAATTTTCATTAGCATCTAATTTTCAATTGTGTGTGATATATGATGTACCATATATGAGGAGTGTTCTTTCACCCTGCCTCTTTTTTTTAAGGTTTTGATATACCTTGATGCCCACTGTGAGGTGGCAGTTAACTGGTATGCACCACTTGTAGCTCCCATATCTAAGGACAGGTAACATTACCTTGCTTTTTTTTTTTTCCCTTTCCTGCTTGAAAAGTAGACCTCCTCCTAGAAGAGCCAATAATATTCTCATTCTTCTGTTTCCAGTTCCATTCAATACGTCAAGTATTGCATTTCAAGTGTTATTATTTAGCTAGTTGTCTTCTTGGGTAGAGCTAGATTGATACTTTGGACTGGTCAAATGTGGATGCTCAGACATTTGGGATAAGCCTAGGATGCCTCGTTCTAGAATCACCTCCCAGTTGGGGTATTGAAAATACTTTGTGTATCTCCAGGAGATAGTTATTAATATTTTCTATGGGTAATATTAATGGCTACCTTTAAACTGGGGTCAGAGTATTAACAATATGAAGAAACATGCTTGGAAATTAAACCTAATTTTTTTTTATGCCTTTCTAAATGATCACTTTTGGTAATAAGTCCACCTGTAGGTATGTCAAATCCTATAGAAACTTCTAAGATTAGAAATTAAACAACTATTCAGTTTCCAAAAATATCTGAAATAATAGAAGGCAGCATTAATCTCCTAGTGCCAAAAGCCTTCCCTACTTCTAGTTCAGAATTCTATTTGTGAATCTAGGAAAATAAGATGTCCTGTGGTAAATAGCACAGGTCAAAAGAACTTCAGAGATTTTAATTATCAAAAGACTTAATGTAAAGGCCTACTACCATAAATATTTTTCATGTGCTATCTGATTTAATACTCACAGCAACTCTGCAAAATAGGTATTCTTCTAAGCTTTATTTTACTGAAGATGATACTGAGGCTTAGAAAATTAAGTCATTTTCCCTTAATCAGGTAGCTAATAAGCTAGTAAATTAAGATCTCTCTGGGACACTTTATACTGTAGTATTTATTTAGAAATGTGAGAATAATGAGAAGTGAGAAAAGATAAAGCTGACCCTCACATCTCCACATGAATACTAGCAGTCCTTTGAGTAGTAAAGAAGATATTTTCCAATGGATCCTGTCTCTTAATCTCTGGAGAGATTAAAGCACTTTTCTCAAATCTCCTTCCCCACACCAAAGTTCTGAATTTCCTGGGTTTTCCCCCTTTTTCTTGGTTTCTAAACGTCCAAAACACATGGCTTATGTGGTTATGAAAAGCTGTAATTTCTGTTTTACAGAATGCATTTTAAAGTCCTTGCTGATGAGTAGTGAAGCAGTCAGGGTGCCAGTTTGTCTTTGCAATGCTGACTCTCCATCTAATTAGCTTTAGAGTACTAACTTTCTCATGAAGCTCAGATACAAAGGACTTCTTGGCTCCAAAATTTCAGGCCATTACTAAAATTCTTCAGCAGGTTTTAAGGCATTTTTGCTTGTTTGTTTACTTTTTTAATTAAGCAAGAATACAGTTCTTTTTTTGTTTGTTTGTTTTGCCACAGAAGCTATTTTTAGAGGTAGGAGAGGAAAATCAAAAGTACTGAGACATGTTTTCATAATTACTGCTTTGAAAAGGAATAGAAAGCAGCAAAAACTTGGGAGAACTGCTAAGAATATAGCAAGAACTCTCTGTCTATATATATATATACAAATACACACACACACATATATCTATACACACACACATTTTTAATAAGGGATAGGGAAAATGGCACACAGGAAAATCATGTAAATATACAGCATTCCCAAGAGAAAATTGTCCATAGGATCAAAGTAAAAAGGAGAGAATGCCACCAAACTCAAGATTAGGCTTTCTGCCCTGACATTTGTCTGTAGGCCTAGGGAAAAGTCTCTTCTAGCCTTCCCTTAGGAAAACAAGCTCTTTGACTTTTATAGGAGAATCATTTTCTTCTGTTTTCATTAGATATTAAAGCCCTCTAGAGTCCTGGTGTGGCGTTGTAGGATAACCACTGGACTGCTAACCAAAAGGTTGGCAGTTCAAACCCACCAGCCACTTCTCAGAAATGCTATACAGGATCGCTTTGAGTAGGAACCAACTGTATGGCACTTAACAACAGGGTCTTAGTGTGGCACTGTGGTATAAACACTAGACTGCTAACTGCAAGCTCAGCAGTTCAAACCCACTAGCCACTCCTTGGAAACACTATCCTGAATCATTACGAGTCGGAACCGACTTAACAGCACTCAACAACAACAGAGAGATAATGTAGTTAGGCATGCTAAACTAGTCAGTTTTGGGTTCTTAAATGCTTTTTCATTTTCTGTAAATGTTTCAGAACTACATGTACTGTGCCTCTAATAGATTACATAGATGGGAATGATTATTCCATTGAACCACAGCAAGGTGGGGATGAAGATGGTTTTGCCAGAGGGGCCTGGGACTGGAGTTTACTTTGGAAACGTATTCCTCTGAGCCACAAGGAAAAGGCCAAAAGAAAACATAAAACTGAACCTTATCGGTAAAGATTACTTACTTTATTTGTTGAATGTTTGTTTATCTAAGTACTTTTTTTTTTCCTTCTCCATGAACCTCGTAAAAATGTGTGGGTCCATACACACCCTTCCATTTCATCTTTGCTGTCATCATCAACATAATACAGAACCATTTGCACTGTGCCGATTATAGATGTCATAAATGGCAACACATATGAAATTGTACCCCAAGGGGGTGGTGATGAAGATGGGTATGCCCGAGGAGCATGGGATTGGAGTATGCTCTGGAAACGGGTGCCTCTGAACGAGCGAGAGAAGAGAATGAGAATGACCAAAACTGAACCATATCGGTAATCACTAAATCACTTACATATTTTTCTTTTCTCCAGTAGTTGCTAATCTACTAATGTACTGCTAAGCTAAAATTTCTGTTGATGTCTCAGATTTTGAAATGAATTCTTTGCTTGCACTAACTGTTGTAGAGCTTTGAATTCACATTTGCATCCTTCTAACTGATTTTACCCTGAATGCAAGTGCCTCTATGTACTTTCTCAATGGGAAAAAAAATAATGTTACATGGCATCACTTCCAAATACAAGTGAAAAAAGGATCTCTGCTGTCCTGTCCTAGTAGAATCAACATCAAACTATATTCTTTTGAGGCTTATGTTATTCTGTACATTTAAAATACATAAATTACCTAAAATCCAAAATATATATTTCTACTTTGATGACTTGGGTTTAATGTTAACAGTGAAAGGCGTTGTTGTTGTTGTTGTTGTTGTTGTTGTTGTTAAGTACTATTGAGTTGATTCCGACCCATAGCGATTCTGTATAGAGTTTCCAAGGAGCAGCTGGTGAGCTTGAACCACTGACCTTGAAGCTCAAACGACTGCAGTCTGATGCATTAGCCCACAGTGCCACACCAGGCATTACAAAGGGATTTTTGGTTTTCCCCTTTTTTTGTTTTATATGTTAGCTCTCAAATACTCTTTTTGAACCAGTTAAATATGATAAATAAAAATATATGACTTTGGGAAAAAGTCATCACTTCCATAAAACACTTTACTGCTTTATTCTCAGAACCTACCACCAAAACCACTGCTCTTTATTCTATTCCGACTCATAGTGACCCTTTAAGACAGAGTAGACCTTTTCAAGGCTGGTGTGACACTATAGGATCAGCACTAAACTGCGAACCACAAGATCGGCAGTTCAAACCCACCAGCTGCTCCTTGGAAGCCCTATACAGGGTCACTATGAATCAGAACTGACTCAGTGGCACGTAACAACAACAGCAGGTCTTCACTGAAGCCAACTGCCACATCTTTCTCCCATGGAGTGGCTGGTTGGTTCAAACGGCCTACCTCTCATTTAGCAGATGAGTACTTTAACCACTGTGTCACCAGGGCTCATTCTCAGTAGAGTGCTTAATTAAAAAGAAGTCAGCTTTTGTCCCTTCTTACAGTTCTTTAAATAGAGTAATTTATACTACTCTATTCTTTTGGTCTTTTAAAAGTAACATTTTACTATTCAAAAAAGTGACCCCAAATGAAATGTTTGCTCAAATATTAGTGTAAGTATTTCCTAATTATATCTAATTTTATTTCTCTGACCTTATGGTTCTGCTTTTGGTCTCTGTTACATTGCTGATCATGGAAGACTTCTCTTTGGAAAGGGCTTCCCGTTTCATGAAAATCTTGGTGCGGATTGGGTAACTCATGATATCAAGATACAGCAGCTGCTTACTGAGATGGCAAACATAAGGAAATTATAGAACTTTTAAGTTTTATTTGATACTTTACAAATTTGCATTTGAAGTTTCATTCTAAATAGTCCAGAAATTCATTTCCTATGCACTAAGCCTGTTGTGACACTATGGGTCAATGCGCTGGACTGCAAGGTCAGTGGTTCAAGTTCATCAATTGCTCTTCGGAAACCCTATAGTGGGTCACTGCGAGTTGGAACCGACTTGATGGCACCAAACAATAACAAGCTTGACTAGGAGTCCTGGTATGGTGCTGCAGGTTAATACACTGGACTGCATAGTCAGTTTGAACCACAAGGTTGGAGGTTCAAGCTTACCAGCTGCTCCTCGGAAACCCTATACAGGTCGCTATGAGTCAGAACCAACTTGACAGCACTTAACAACAACAACAAGCCTGACTGATAAATAATTCTGGGAGGAAAAAAAAACAAAGCCTGTTGATTACATTTTATATTTCTACAATTCTACAGCAAATGAAGAAATCAGAAAAATGAAAACTTTAAAGACGATTTCCCTTAACTCCCAGATCACATGTTAAGATATATTTTCAAATGTATACTGAGATGAAGGGGGACATATTTAAAGACCAAATTGGCACAATTATAATAGATTGATTTTAAATGACATTAAAATATAACTAAAAATGTGATCATGCAGGTTAGTGAGTTAGACAACATACTTTAAGAAGTACTGAGAATATTACTTGGTTTATTATTTATCCACTCAACACATATTTATTGAGTGCTTACTATGTGCCAGATGCTGTTTTCTGAGGATAAATCTAAAACGATATGTTCCCTTATGGTGCTTAAAATATAGTAGTGAGACAGACAGCAAATAACTCAGGAACTGTAACCCTGATAAGTAATCTGAAGAAAAAAAGTACAGGGAACATGAGGTTTATGAGGAGAACCTAGTCCAGCCTGGAGGATCAGGAATAGCCTCCCTGATGCAATGTCCTTAAGGTTGAAGCCTGAGGAGGAGGAAAAGCATATCAGGAGAATGAATAGCATCAATGAAGGTCCTGTAACAGAAGAAAGTTTGGCAGAGCAGCGAGGAGCTCAGTTCAAGAAAGAAGGTGAAAAGAGTCTAGAGAACATCCTGTGGGCCCTTATTGAAAATTTTACTCTGGCTGCTCCATGGAGATTAAGTAGGCAGTGTAGAATGAAGGCAACAAATTAGGAATATACTGCCATATTACAGGCCATACTGGATTTATCTGTGACAGTAGCAGTGAAGTTGGAAAGAAGTTGGTATCATCAAGATATGTTTTCAAGGTAGAATCTGTAGTCCCTATTGCTAATGAGAGCTTGGCTCTCAGATATGATGGTAACAAAGATACCCTAAGAGAAGTTTCTAGTTAAGAGTCATGGTGCATTAATGAGGATCATGATATCTGATGCCTCCCTGGGAGCCCAGGGAGCAGGATGAGAATTAGAGCAGCTGTCACTTCTCTCACGGTGGGAGTGACTGGTCCCTACAAAGCTACCGAGTCTTTTTTGTTGTTGTTTTTGTCTTGTCCCCCAAAAGAACCAAATTAAGGATCCCATTTCAATAAACCCCACAAATCACCTTTTGCATTCCAGCCTCCTGACAGAGTAAATAGCTGTGTCCAATTCTCCTGTGTCATTTCTGTGCTACATTTGCAAACTCTGAATGAACTGTGGCTCTTCTATGATGATTTACATCCTTATTTGGCAAGCCCCTGAGCTATAAAATTAAAAAATGACAGACTACTTCCACGGTGTATGGTTTTGTTCATCCCAGAATGACTCATAAATCATTGCAGGAACAGTTAGCAGACCACGGCTGTATGGCTTAGTGTTTTTAAGAATGAAAGAGAAAATTCTTCTTTAGCAAAAACTGCTTCAATTTTAAATCAAGAAAGGTACCAAGTCGCCCTCTAATGGAGAAATGCAGCCGTGCTCTAATTTGTAATGAGCTGTGTAATTCAGTCACCAGTCCAAATCATGGCAAATTCATTAAGGAAATGGGGACAGAGTGTTTTGTGAAGACTTTATAATTTCTTAATGTTTGGCCATCAGTTGTTTTTTTTTCTCTTCTATGCATTATTGAGCTGCTTTCCAAAAGCCTTCTTGTCTGTGGGTATAGAGATGTTGGTGTTGGTTTGTAATGGTTATTGCAGTGTTTCTTTGTCTTAGGTCCCCAGCTATGGCTGGTGGATTATTTGCCATTGAACGAGACTTCTTCTTTGAATTGGGTCTCTATGATCCAGGTCTCCAGATTTGGGGTGGCGAAAACTTTGAAATCTCATATAAGGTAAGATTTCACTTAAACAAATGCAATTTTATAAGCATTTACTTAACTGACTTTTGAGACTTTCAGTTAAGGCTTTTTCTTTGGGGAAAAAACCATATAATGTATTTCCCCAAATTATAAGAAATGATTAACCAAAATGTATGCCTTTTGAGAAAATAAAGCAAAATAATGAACTTGAAGGTTACCACCAAATACTTACATAGCTTAGCTCAAGATTGAGGCCAACAATCTTCAGAAATAAACTTGTCTCTACCACCAAGGATTTTTATACACTGAAACTGATATGTAGTAGCCCTTTGGGAATCTGTATGTGTTGGGGCCACAGTTTGACCAACTGATGTAGTTGACATCAATTCCAAGTCATAGCAACCTTAGGACAGAGTAGAACTGCTCCATAGGGTTTCTGAGGCTGTAAATCTTTATAGGAGCAGACAGCCTCATCTTTCTCCTGTGGTGAATCGACCTTGTGATTAGCAGCCCAACATTTAACACAGTGCACCACCAGAGCCCCTTTATCGCTATAGGTCATGTTGATTCAGTAGTGAAGCAGATCCCAGTAGTGACTGTGTACCTTCAGACTGACATAGACTGACATAACAGCACCTGTCTGTTATTGAGGCAGTCCTTAAACAATAACACCTTGTTCCTTGCACAGTGCCAGCTCAGTATCCCAGCAATACCATCTGTGCTCCAAACCACTTCCACACTCCCCTATTTTCTAAAAGAGAGAAAAAGCATGCAAAGCACTAAATTACACTGTATTCGTATATAACGCTAAGAAGGCAGAATGGCATTGATTTGATTCCGAAAGAAATTACATCATGGTGAAGGCAGAATTTGAGGCAGACCAAGAAAGATGGGCATGATGTCAGTAAAATCAGATCATGGGAGAGGAAGACTTCTATGCAAATAGACAAGGAAAAGTACAATAATGAGGACATGGAGAGTGCATTCAGGATACAATAAGGATCACAATTTTGCGGAATCGGCATGACTTAGGAGGACATGTAAGAAGATAAAGAAGATAAAGTGGACAGGTATGTTAGAACCATATTGATGAGAGCTTTTAATGCTGAGCTAAGAGATTTTTACTTAATTTGATAAGCAATGGAGATCTACTGAAGATATTAATCAAGGGAATAATATGACCCAAAGATGCCCTTCAGCTAGAATAATCTGCTTGCTATAAATAAAGATAGATTTGAGTAGAGAGAAGCTGGAGGTGAAGAAGCCAGTTAAGAAGTTATTATAATAATCGTTCAGGTGGGACATATTAGCCATGGAAATGGTAAACGGTGTTAGGAATAAAGAACTTGCATGACTTTGCAAGGTTACATTGGGAAGAGGTTTCTAGGCGCTCTAAGGATATAGGAAGAGACCCCTTAGATGCAGGTTATTACTGTATTCCCTGTTGCCTTCGTTGTTGTTATATAAGATTTTAAAACAAGCTTAATTATGTGGTTTAGGAATTCTCTGTGGACCTAACATCCAATTTAGATTTTTCATATAGACAAAACTTCATGTTTGTATTTGAATCAATTCCATGTGCGTTTTTCTTGGTAGATATGGCAGTGTGGTGGCAAGTTATTGTTTGTCCCTTGTTCTCGTGTCGGACACATCTACCGGCTTGAAGGTTGGCAAGGAAATCCTCCACCCATATATGTTGGGTCTTCTCCAACCCTAAAGGTGAGTCTTTTCATTAAAGGGGGAGAAAACTAAGGAGCTAGCATTCATGTATGTCATGCTATTGTAATCTCTTAACAGATGTTAGCTCGCTGAATGGCCTAAATCTTTTAAGCAGTCACAATTATCCTCACCTTTCACTTAGACTATGCTTATTCATGAATTATCTTTATTGTTTGTAAACATTATTCCTTATATCCCATCTAATTGCTTGTTGCTGCTAAGTGCCGTTGATATTGACTAGTGATCCCGTATAGGGCTTCCAAGGTGCTGCTGGTGAGTTTGAACTGGCAACCTTCTAGTTCAAACCGACCTTGCGGTCCAGTGCTTTATCCTGCAGCACCACACCAGGATTCCTATGTTGAATGCCTTTTCCCTGAAAACATCTCAAATAAATTTTTTCAAAACCGATACTTCTTTGGGTAAGTAGTGGAAAGGAAAATACCAGCTTCTACTATTCACACAGTAAAATATTATTTTTTTAGTCTGGTTTTATAAAATGAAGATAATCATCTTAGGAATTTATCTAGTAAAAAAATCAAGTTGTTGAATAGCATTTACAATATGTATCTTTTGCCCCTCAAAGATTAGCAGATTCTTGTGCCACTCTCCTCTCGTTAGATTCTGCCACCTCTCTCACATAAAAATTTCCATTTTGACAAGTGAATTGTTTTATTGTAATGAATAGTTTGATATGATCAATACATGAATCAAAATCATGTTTCCACTAAGATGTATAATGTGTATTTTGTCAAAACTCATGAGAAAATAGTTGGTTGAAGGCTTTGTAAGTCAGATGCAACTTTAACATAAAGGACTGTAACTTTAACCTTAATAGAACTGTTGTAGTAATTGAGGTCCTCCCAGATTACTTTTAATCATAATTCTAGTTTCTTCTTTATTTATCCCCAGCATTCTATACATTGTTGCTTGTTTTTCTAGTATTCCTAAAATGAGATATTCTATAGCTACCTTGTTCTAAGAGAAAGGAATTTTTTAGCTGGGGAGGGTAATGAAGACACAGTGTAGTCCTGCAGATATGCCATTGATCTGTTTATTTCCCAGCCGTGATATATACAGTCGGCCTGGTCTGAAACAAACCAAGGAAATTTTAAGTGGTCAAATGTCCTGCAACTAAGACAAAGACCTCTATCCCTGGCAAAATAACTTTGAAGTCTTTTTTGTTCAACTTCTTTCATAGATTCTGAGAGGCATTTGATTTTGGTGCCCCTCGATATTTAGGAAACTTAATGGAGTCAAAAACAGAAGAAAGTTCATTATTGGCTGCAGATGTCACTTGGGACAAAAGAAAAATAGATAGCAGATGCTAATACAGTGAGGTTTAAGAACCAACAATAGCTTTCTAACTGACCAGATTATTTTAGAAATAGTCAAATGTATCCCAGCTACAGCAGGGTGAGATTAAAATATACATGGATAAAGCAAAGATCTTGTTGTTGTTGAGTTGCTTCTGCCTCATAGCCACCCTGTATAGGGTTTCTGGGGGGTGGCTGGTAGATTTGAACCACCAACCTTGAGGTTAGTAGGCCAGTGCTTATCCTACACAAAATTAACATGAAGCCTTACAAGAAAAGAACCTTTTCTTGGAGTCGGTCCTTCATAATTATGAAGGGCCAGTGAGAAGTGAAATGGGTTCAAGAGGTTCTCTTCTGCCAGAAAAAGGAAAAGAGATGAAAGGGAAATACTTATGCACTCAAAAAAATTAACTATCAACAGCAACATTGTAAAAGTTGTCCAATAGATGGAATGGTCCACAGATCTTTAGTGTATGCCAGGCACTTCGTTTTTTCCAGTTTTAGTACTTAATCTGCCTCAACTACCAGTGTGCCGCACTTCTATTCCTTCATCTTGTTTATCTCCTGGAAGCTTTGGACCTTATTACCAGTGTTCTACTAGAATTTTTCACTTGGATGTCCTTCATGTATTTCCCATACAACTCAAACTTTTCAAACTTGTCCTCAAAAACTACTTTTCCCAGTATTCTCTATCAACCCATTAATGAAACTTATAGGGCTTGTTATGATTGTCCTTTTCCTTCACCTCCCACCTTCCCAGTCCCTGATGATTCTACCTCATAATTCTGTCCCATCCTCTGCTTACTTTAGGCCCTCAGCTCTCGTCCATGGATATCAAATAGCCTCCCATTTGACTGTCTACCATCAGGTTCATTCCCCTTCTGACTTGTCTTCCACTTGCCATCAACCTTAAATGAAAATGAAACTTAAATGAAAATAAGTTTTCTGCTTAAAGCTTTCACTCATCTTAAACATAAAATTCACAGTTTTTGAAATGCAATATAATAACATTAATAATGTTGTTGTTGCTTCTAAATGCTGTCTAGTTGGGTCTGACTTACAGTGACCCTGTATAGAGTTTGAACCACCAACCTTGTGGTTCAAGCTGACCTTTCAGCCCTGCGCTTATCTTACAGCGCCACAACAAGACTCCAAAACTGCAAACACTTATTGGATGCTAGTGTGTACAAATATAAATTTACTTCTTAATTTTTGCTATCCACTACGAGGTAAGGACTATAATTATTCTCCTCTTAAAATAAGGAAGCTGAGGCACATTTTCTCTCAGTGAATCTTATATTCCATTTACTATAAACCTGCAAGGACTCCAACTTCATCTGCTTTCCCCTTTGCCCTGAATACCACTGCCACCTAGTTAGCCCTCCTTCAAGACTGATCTAAACAGTATTCTTCTGTGATGCCCCTCTATATTTCTCTGTCCTTGACAATTAAATATTTATTTGGTTGTTGTTGTTGCCATAAACTTAAATGTGTTTACTACTCTTCATATTCTTGAATATCTAAACATGGCCTGTCTGTTTTCTCTCTGTACATCCAGCATTGAGATGACAGGTACTACATGGATTCAAACTATTTAGCAACAGAATTGTGTGATCTTTTGAGATATTTCTCCTTAAAAAAATATTTTGAACCCATGGACTTTGGCTACGACATGCTCACCACTTGTTTACCCTTGATAGTTCCTTTATAGCCTAAAAAAAAAAGTCATCTCAACGATAGGTGTTCCACTTCTGATGTAGAACAGGGGTCAGTGAATAGACATATAGGCCAGATCTGCCCCCTTTTTAGAACTGTATTGGAGCACAGCCACACCCATGGGCTTTCATATTATCTATGACTGGAGTCTTGGTGTGGCGCTGTAGGATAATAGACCACAAGATCAATTTGAACTACAAGGTCTGTGGTTCAGACTCACCAGCCACTCCTTGGAAACCCTATGCAGAGTTGTTATGAGGCAGAACTGACTCTGTGGCACTTAACAACAACAGCCGTCTCACTACAACACTAGAGTTGAATGGTTGTGACAGAGATCAGATGGCCCACAAAGCCAAAGAATATGTACTTTATGGTGCTTAATAAAAAACTTTGCTACCACATGATGTTATCAGGGCAATAGCTGGAGCGTGTACTAATTCATTCAGTAGAACCTTAAAAGTGAGATCTTTGTCAATTATCACTTTTTCAGCTTAAAAAAAAAAAAATCTTTAAGTGGCCTTTCCTTAAAGTACATCAACTGGGGAAATTAGCAAGTTTATGCTAACTTACAGTAAAATGCTTCTATTATAGTTGTGGAGTCCTGGGAGTGTGGCACTGTAGGTTAATGTGCTGGACTGTAAGGTCAGTGTGAACCTCAAGGTCAGTGGTTCAAGCTCACCAGCCTCTCTTTAACCAACTCAATGGCACTTAACAACAATAATTTGTTAATACAGTAACATTTTGGGTTAAATGTCTCATTTCAGAAACCATCAAAAAAGCTTATAATAAAACTTTTTTTTTTTTTTGGTAGGTGGCTCTGTTAATTTTGTTACAACTATAATGCTGTTATTGTTGTTGTTAAGTGCCATCAAGTCAGTTCTGGCTCATAGTTTCCGAGAAGCAGCTGGTGAATTTGAACTCCTTGCAGTTCAAACTGACCTTGTAGTCCAGAGCGTTAACTCACAGTGCCACACCTGGACTAAGAATAATCTGGTAGAAAGAGAATCACTGCCTAGTTTGGGCTTTTATAAATTATCTCTGGGCCTCAATTTTTTTTTTCCTCAATAAGCAGGAAAGAATATATGATCTTCTGTCTCATTGATATCAGATTTTATATAAATCATTGTAGAGTCATTAGCTCACTTGCATTTGTTGTTCAGTTAAATGCCAGGTCCAACTGAAATGAGTTTACTATATGTCAGTTATATATTTCATGTCTCTTAAGATGGGCTGTTAATGACATTACACATTCTTATCTTTCTTATTGATATTAATTTTCTTTCCCACAGAATTATGTTAGAGTTGTAGAGGTTTGGTGGGATGAATACAAAGACTACTTCTATGCTAGTCGTCCAGAATCAAAGGCATTACCATACGGGGATATATCTGAGCTGAAAAAATTCCGAGAAGATCACAACTGTAAAAGTTTTAAATGGTTCATGGAAGAAATAGCTTATGATATCACTTCACACTACCCTTTACCACCTAAAAATGTGGACTGGGGAGAGGTAAGTATCAACTGATGCTCAAAGCTCAAAGTGTGTATTTGGAGACTGGGTTTGGTAGAAGGCAGTGAAAGACAAAAATGCTTGAGGAAAATCTTGGGTAGGAATGGTCTGCCAACCTCTATTACCCTTTCACGAGACGCTTACAACTCCCCTGACCACCTAAGTACCCATTCTGCTTGCAAGTTTCCATGAGCACACTAAGTTTTCCCTCCCAAACCACTGGCTCTCCTGCCTGGAACACTGTCCACTCCTTTCCTCCAACTCTTTTCGCTCCCTGCCTTGCACTCCCTGGGCTATTTCCAACTTAACCTACTGCTCTCAACAGAGAGGTTACCAATAAGAAGAGTCTTTCTTATTCTGCTGTACTCCATGAGAAACCCTCAGTTGTTTGATCTTTCCATGTTTCCCCATAACACCTCAAATCTCTGTCTCCCAAAACTAATCTGTACCACATTCACTATTAGGTCCCAGTGCACTAATGCTGAAACCCCATCTGTAATAAGCACTCAAACTCTGTTTGTTACATGACTGAATGAAATAATGGCATTTAAAAATAACTGAAATCAGATAAAAGGCACTAATCTATGTTACCATTTCTTGATTTCTTCAAATCTGCTTTTGCTAGCCTTGGTTCTGATTACATTCACCCATATACCTTATGCTACTGCCTCACAAGTATGCTAAAAAGTTGTCCTGAACTATCAAGTCTATACACCTTTTCTTATTTGTTACAAGTATTGGTTGAGGACCTACTATATGCCAAGCACTCTTCTAGAAAGATGACAAGCTAAGCAAGGTCCTTTTTTTCCTGTGGGAAAAACGGTTGGGAGAGAGAGAGCCAAAAATAGTCAGGGAAAACAGTGAAGATAATAACAGATGATGGTAAAAGGGCTAAGAAAAAAAAAATAGCCTTATGATCAAGAGGACCCAAGGACAGGGTAAGGAAGGCTTCTCTTAGGAGGTGACATTTAATCTGAGCTTTAAATGATAAAGAGCTAGCAAGAGTGTTCCAAGTAAAGAAAACAGTGAGTTCAAAGGCTCTGAGTCAAGAAATGCTACAAAGAAAAGAGAACATTAGGGAGGCAGGCACAGGCCAGGCTAGGTAGCTCAGGCCTTTAAGACCATGGTGAGGAGAGAGGCCTTTATCTCAATGCTGATGGGAAGCTGTGGGAGGGTTTTTGTTTTTTTCTTTTTTCAATGTTTCATTGTGAATTATGTGATAGTTTACATGGGAGAACATTAGCTTTACATTCATCCTATCGTATATATCGTTTCATTGTCATGGTTACAATCCTCTCCATGCATCATCAACCAACCAAATGGTATACCCTTGTAAGCCTGCCCCTGGTCATCAGCACACAGCCCCTCTCCCTTTCTCTGTCTAAAGTCCCCAGCTGCTCCATCTCTCCATGTCTTCGTCTCTGCCTCCATCTCTGGTGTCACTGCTTCTCTGGGTAGGGTCCCACTCTCCACTCTTCTCCCTTGATGGTCCCAGGGACCTCCACTCCTGGACTGCAAAGTCAATCACTCCCCTCCTTTTGCTATAAAATGTCTACATTTCCAACCCTCACAATCAGTCCTGATAATAATTATTCACTATTGTATCACAAGAGACCTATAGGCATTGCCTTTCATCAACCCTGCCCAGACAGATTGTATACTACTCAGTGGAGATTATACCTTCCTCTACGCCCTCTGGATCTAAGCTCCCTCTTGAAAGCTTGTAAGCCATTCACTTCTTGCCTTTGTAGCCAATGTCCAAGTTACTCTATGTATGGAGGAAGTGGGAATGATCCTCGCTGTAAAGATTTGTTCCCTCTTTTGAGCTACTGCATCCATAGGTGTAGGTCAAATTCATCAAATTGTATCAGATTACTCTTTTTTTCCCCCTCTTTTTTCTTCTTCTAGTTGAGCTCTGATCATCCAGTCATTGAAGCCAGGTCAAGTGGGTATTATCTACAAGTGTGGGTGTTCTTCTGTATGTGCCCTCTCTTCTTATCAGCTGGATGCTTCACTCTCCACTCTAGTCCTGTGGGAGGGTTTTTAACAGGCATCATGTTTGATCTATGCTTTTATTTTAAATCATCATGCTGTGAAGGTGTAGCGTATAAACAAGGATGCCATTTAGGGAACTAATAGGGTAGTTCCAGGTCTCTGGATGGCACAGAAGTTTTGTATGAGACTATAAATATAAAGATTGGTGCTTTAAACCCATCCAGGCATGTCATGGAAGAAAAGCCTGGCAATCTGCTTCCATAAAGATCACAGCCAAGAAAATGGTATGGAGCAGTTCTACTCTATAACCGATGGTATCTCTGTGAGTCGGAAGCAACTTGACAAGTTAAGGTAGTTCTAGTGAGAAGTCATAGTGGTTTGGACTTGGGTGGCAAGAGCAGACAGGGAAAGGAACAGACAAATATATAATTGGAGTAGGACCCAGAAGGCCTCACTGATTGATTGGCATTTGGAGAGTGAGAGATAGGAGTAGGCCAATAAGAGATCTAGATTTTGTTTTTTAATTAAGTATCTGATTAGGAAAGATGATGGAGGAAGGGAATGAGGGTGCCAGAGATGGCAAGTTCTCTGTTGGACATCCAAGTAAAGCTGTTAAGTAGATGGCAGGCTGGGGGCCATCAGCAGATAGCTTGTTTCATGGGACTAAATGATCACATTGGTAGAAAATAGAGATAAAGAAGAGACCTCAGGACCTACCTCAAAAGTACGCCAACACTTAGTGTTGGGGAATGAAAGGAGACACCAACAAATGAGACTTAGGCCATACACTAGCCAAAGATCCACAATCAGCGATAGCTATAGAAAACCATGCCTTTGCAGCATGAGGAATACCCACTTGTTATTTACATTCTCTAAAACATTAAACTTTAAAAGATGACATTATAAAATGTGTGACATGCATAAGAAAACAAGTGAATAAAGACATATACATAGGTATATAGAATAATTCAGTTACTCTATGTCCCTGGTACCATACAATTGCAATTCCAAGAAAAACAAGATATGAGGATGTCTACTCATATTTCAAGGAGCTCTGGTAGCGTAGTGGTTACAAATCTGGCTGCGAACCGCAAGGTCAGCAGTTCGAAACTACCAGCTG